ACTTTGAAAAGTCAAATCAAGTTCAGAATAATGAAACAGCCCATGCTTAAATTCTATGTGTTTGAAGTAAAGTGTACTTTTTTTATCAAAAGGAATTTTTAGTTGTCTACAGGGATTGGCCAGCTGAACTTTGTCCATTTGTAACGCCACTTTTTAAAATGGCACAGGCTGCTGTCTAGGAGGTAAACAAATGGTCAATCCAGCTACTTTCAGCTCCTGAGAAGGCTTCACACACTGAGAGAGACTTCAGAGAGTGAGAGGACCTTCAGCACCTAGGTTTTTGGGTCGAACAAGTCAGAAAATAGATGAATTGCTCCATGAAACTGCTCAGGTAGATGGAATGAGCTCCTGTCAATCACTCAGCTGTTTACTCAACAAAATATTGGCCAACCCCTGTACATAGGACTGCTTGTACACAAGCTGTCTAGAAATGACCAGCCCTCATGGAATGCCTGAGCAGATGAAGAGTCCCACAGGGCAACTCGATGTCACAACACAATAATGAAAGGCATCTTGGAGAGATATGCAATATGCAGAGGAAAAAGAGTGCAGACAGACCTGGCCTGCCAGGAGGTGAGAGCATTTATATGAGGGGAATGTCCTTTTACGTCACCAGGAGCTATCTGTCACTTCAAACACATAGACTCTAAGCGTGGGTTGTTTTATTAAGCTGTTTCATTATCCTGGACCTGATTTTTCAAAATGAGATGGAAGAAAAACTGGGTTGGGAACATGATTTGTTAATGTTGTCCACGTGGTCAAAGTGTCACTAGTAAATCTTCTTTGGAGGGTGTACATGGGAGATAAAAGGAGTTATCATAGCTCAACTTGGCCTACATAGACAGAAATTCAGAGGTGGAGGTTCATTTATGAAGGGTATGGGGGGGGTGCGACTTAGTGGAGATAAAGGGCCGCGCAAAGGTCCTGAGGCGAAGCTTTGCTTTGCTCTCAGCAAGCTTCAGCCTTGGGCACTGTTCTCTAAAGTTGCAGGAAGGCCGCCCACAGCAGGGAAGCCACATCCTGTCAACTCAGCAAGTAAACAGAAAAAAAGAGCTGCTTTTCCCAGGACATCAGGAAGACCATCCCTGCTGCTGGGGAAAGGATGGGGATACCCCCAGGGGAAGCTTAGGCCCCTCGCCCATTGCTTTATCAGTTGACAAGAAAGGAGATGGATGTGTCAGCTTTTCCCAGCTGTGTATATTCACAAGCATGCACAAGGGAAACACTGAGCAGAGATAAGACAGCACAGAAGGCCCTAGGAGCCGGAGGCTGCTAAGCTAGACTATTGCAGGAAGTGACGTCAGCATGACAAGTCATGGGAGAGGTACTTGGGTGTGACTACCAGTCTGCAATGATGTCCGCAAACATCTCTACAGGGCCAGGGGTTTTCACAGGGTCCATTGTTCCTTCCTACCAGCAATATGACAAATAATAAATTAGCCTCTCAAGTGAATATGTTTTGATCTTGGTATAATTGAAGGACATTGTTTAAAAGTGGAAATTTAGAGGGGGGACAAGTGGAATAGTTCAATTACCACTTCTTTCTAAAACCATAGCAAAATGCATATTTCAAATGAGTACTACATGAGTACTACAAACAGCCGGTCTTTGTCTTACCTCCACAGGCCAGGGTAGAGGACATTGTGGAGCCACTCAGTGGATGATGGCATCAATGACATCATCGAAGCCCTGCCCACATGAGCAGGCACTCAGCAGCTAGCAGGAGAGGTTAGCTAGCACCTGAGGTTAGGAAACCCAGCACCTCCCCAGGATGGATGCCACCCAGGCAGTACTTCAGGGGTGGGATCACTGCTATATCCTGGACCAAGAGCTAAGGTGACAGCCTCTGATGTGTGTCAAGACAGTCTCAGAAGGTAGAGGACATGGACTGTACTAGGTGGTTTTGGGTGTCAACTTGACACAAGCTGTATAGTCATCGGAGGAAGGAGCCTCAGTTGAGGAAATGCCTCCTTGAGATCCAGCTGGAAGACATTTTTTCATTTAGTGATCAATGGGGGAGGGCCCAGCCCATGGTGGGTGGTGGTATCCCTGGGCTGCTCGTCCTGGGTTCTATAAGAAGATAGGCTGAACAAGCCATGGGGAGCAAGTCAGTAAGTAGCTCCCCTCCATGGCCTCTGCATCAGCTCCTGCCTCTGGGATCCTGCCCAGTTTGAGTTCCTGTCCTGACGTCCTTCAGTGATGAACAGCAGTGATGAAGTGTAAGCCAAATAAACCCTTCCTCCCCAACTTGCCTTTTGGTCATGGTGTTTCATCGCAACAATCGAAACCCTAACTACTGAGCCCCGCAGACAAGTGAAGTCAAATGCGAAAGACCACAAGCCCCACTCTGATCTCATCATTCTGCTTCTAGAGCATTTTGGAAAGGGCCTCCTGTTAGGATTCTGTACATGCGCAGCTCGCTCGGGGTCGTGTCTGGCGCCTTACGTCATCAGCTGGCAACTTCGTGCCCACCTTAAAAAGCCACACACGGAGCCCCACGCACTCTCTCTCTCTCTCTCTCTGCTCTCCTCTTTCTATTTCCTCTCTGCTCTGCTCCTGCCATCTTTCTGTCTTTCCATGCCTGGTTTCTTTCTAATAAAGCTCTTTCTAACTCTGGTAGTCTTAGCCGTGGCTCGTAACTTGTCCACCATGCCTGCGGACCCACCAGCACCGCCCATCCTTTCACTTCCTTTGCATGGGTCCTGATCCCACATAACAGGATGGAGCTGCAGCATGTGGGATATTGGCAATTTGGGGAATTGGACTTGGTCCTTATCTCAAAACGTCAACTAACCCCAAAGATATCCTTCTACCCGATTTCTACATTCAAATCTGTATTCTTCATAGATTTAATTCTCAGAATGACCTGTGAAGTGGATACTATAGGCAGACCCTATTGCAAGTGTTACAATTCTGAAAACTTGTCAGGAAGTCCGTCTATACCTGCTAGTGTTACAGTTCTGGAAAGAAAGGTATCCTGACTTGTCAGGAAGTCAAGCTATACCTACAGCTGTGAAGGGAGGTACCCTGGATGCCTCCAGCTGTGAAGAGTGAAGTAGCCTGACTTGTTGGGAAGTCAGGCTATACTTGAAGCTGGGGTGAGGTGGGGGATGGTCTCCCTGAAGGATGTAGCAATCCTGCTCCTCTCTGAAAGACAATCACACCCCACGCCCCCAAGGGAGCTTCCCAAAAGAGTTATCCCTTTCTTCTTCTGCTCTGCTCCCCCAAGGGAACATCCCAGCAGAGGTATCCATTTCTTCTCAGCTGTGGCCCAAGATGTTGCTTCTTCTGCTTCACTCTGCTGAAGTGGAAACCGGTGCAAAAATGTAGCAATCTGCTCTGGCTCCATTGAAAAGTTTTCACTTCTGCTCCACACATACACACACCCCAAGGGAGCTGCCTAGCAAAAGTATCTGTTTCTTCTCCTGCTCTGCTCCCAAGGGAGCTTCCCAGCCGAGACTCTGCTCCTCACCAGCCAAAGAAGACCTTCACTCAAGACTCTTTCAAGCAAGATTTATTTGGGAAGAGGGAATCCAGGAGAGTGGCTGCCTCTGCCTGGGCAGAGAAGGACAGCTGCTAACTGAACAGGTAAAGGGCTCCGTAGGGGCGGAGTTTTTCCAGGAAGAAGATTTCCTGCTCAGGGATTGGTTGGTTTTCCTGTTTGGGGATTGGTTGGTTTAGTTGGCCAGGGGCAGAGTTGGCTCTGGTTTCAGGGCCAAGTGTGTTTCTTTCACTGGCCCTTTTTAGCCTGTTGCCTCTAGTTTCAGGGCCAGGGTGTATTTCTTTCACTGGCTCTGGTTCCAGGGCCAAAGTGTGTTTCTTTGGCTCTGGTTTCAGGGCCAAAGTGTTTCTTTCACTGGCTCAGGTTTCAGGGTCAGGGTGGGTTTCTTTGGCTCAGGTTTCAAGGTCAGGGTGTTTCTTTCACTCGGGGTTTCAGGGTCAGGGTGTTTCTTTGGTTCTGGTTTCAGGGCCAAAGTGTTTCTTCCACTGGTTTTGGTTTTAGGACCAGGGTGAGTTTCTTTGGCAGGCTCTTTTACCCTATCTACATCAATTGTTACTACAGTTTTTGGGGTCAGAACCTGTGTCCTGGAGGTCCTAGCAAGCCAGGCTCAGAGACCCATCCTCAATAAGCCAAATAAGGAGACAATTAATAGTGAAAAGACAGAGAAATGAATTTGTAGCTAAAAATGAATATTGGGAGGAAGAAGAAAGAAATCCAGTGACACACCCTGTGAGTCCATCTTCGGGGGCTTGACATGAGGTTTAGATTTAAATAGGTGACAAAGGGTTGGCATAACTAGGCTGTCCTGGTCAAGGTGTGGTCCCACCCTAGTCACTGCCTGTCATTGTCTCAGCTCCAGCCTCCCTTGCAAGGTAATATGACAAGCTGTCAAAACTGTGTGAAATCTCTCTTCAGGAGACAAGTTCCTCCTCTGCCTGTCTTTTCTTTCTCCCAGCATGAGATCCTTGAGAAATTCAAGTCCTTGGGGACCATTGTCTGAATAATTCAACAGTCAACGGGAGGGGTGCATCCGGCCCTTTAGAATATCTTCATTCCTACTAACACAGTTATATCATCAGGTGATGGTGTTGATTGAGAAGGAGAGTAAGTGAAGTGTTGTTTCAAGGTCTCCACCTACACTTGACCCCAGGCTTCACGACTGGGAAATCTACTCTCTCTCCTTCCACCATGGACCATGACTGTTGCTCCCCCATCTCCCTGCACTGGGGTTTAAAGGTCTGGAGTTGACTGTGAACACCATTTTTTTTTTTTTTTTTTTTTTTTTTTTTTTTTGTGGAGGTGCTGTTGTCAATGTCTACCACGGAACTTGGAGGCCGTGAGAAGCCCCACATTCAGACATAGGAGTGGAGAACTGGAGACCTTGACTCACTTTGGTTGGAATGTACACACCCTTTGTGCCCATGGAAAGGGCTCACCACGCTACACCAAGACTTCCTTTTTTCTGTTCTCAATCCGTGAGAGAAACCAGAACAACACGTCTTGGGACCTTCCGAAGGGGCAGGGCTTCCGTGGCCACCCTTCACTCCTTCACCTCCTTCCAGAAGCCGAAAGACTCCTGGGATCAGCCAGCTCACCAGTGTGGCCATGGCCAAAGACACAGCCAGTGTGACCATGGTTCAGCAGACTGACAAGTGCCGGTCAGGAAGGCTGAGAAGAGGCTACTGTGATGACAAGAATTGCTGAGCAAGACTTGAAGAGCAGGTTGGTTCTGTCCTAATGGGGACTCCAGTGAAATGGGGAGGGCAGTGGCTACATTGAAGAACTTCGCTACACATAGTAGGTATGCCACCCGTGTGCCCAATTCTGCAAATTTGCATCCCCTCAAGATGGCTCTCCTCCCCCCCTCAAAATGGTTCTCCCGCTCCTGTGCTAGAATGGATGTGGATATGTCCCTACAGAGTATGTGAGTTTGTCCACTCAGAGTAGTACCACAGGAAGAAATGGGAAAAGTACCCAGAGGTTCTGATGGAACACTGTGTAAATAAGACAGATGTTGAAACATTTGTTTTTCTTTGGTTGACTGGCTGTGTTTGTAGAAAGGCCCTGTGGCTCCAATTTGAGAACTACCCAGTCAGCCTCCGGGCTAAGCCAGTCAGTCTTGTTTACTTTGTTTATATCCACCAAATGCCACAAAGGAATGCAGACGCCCTGGAGGCCAGCTGGGTAAGGTTCCCTCCTCAGGGGGGGCTTCTTTCAAGCTCTTCAGACCTAAATCTAAATGTGCTGATGAGGGGACCAAGGAGCCTGACTTGAGGGGTGGGGAGCTGGGACAGGGGACAAAGAGCCTACCTCCTTCCACTGTGAGCAACACATTTTTCCGCAATGTGCCTCTGGGTTCCTCAGCAAGGTGAAGGCTTGGGTCAGAAATTTAATATCCAGCACAACATTAATTAGAAGAAATATTGTCTGAGCTCAGAGGCGCTGGCCATGTTATTAAAATACAGAGCAGACACCGTCTCGCCCCCACGCGATGTCAGTCCCGCAGACTGGGGCGAGCTTCCCTGTTTTTAAGCTAAAGGTGGGTGTGTGATGTTAAATAGGAGGCCCACCATCGCAGAACGTAGGTCAGCAGAGATGACTTTAGTCAAGGCCTGTGGGCTCCACTGCCCAGACTCTTAGACACGCTTTTCCTGTCACACCATCTTTTCCTACACGCCCTCTCTCCGACACCCCCACTCCCTGACATAGCATCTTCCTAATACCTAACATCGCTCCCTTACACACCTACCTGCCTGAGTTACTTTTCTGTTGTTGTGAAGAGACTCCATAACTAAGGCAACTCATAAAAGGAAGCATTTAGGTGGGGCCAGCTTACAGTCTCAGAGGGTGAGTCCATTACCATCATGACAGAAATCACGGCTGGATTATCTGAGTGCTTTGTGATAGGATCCTTCCTCTGGAAGTTAAGAGGCATCGGTGCTCTGTCATCTTGGTCTTTGTTGTGCTGTGACCCTGGGCAGATGGCTTTCTTTCTCTCTCTTTCTGTGTCCATCTTGCTTCTTACTGTCAAGGTTGAATTCTCAGCTGTGCCCCTTGTAAGTCCTGAAACGCCTTAGAAATTGCTACTGGGTTTCCAGCCAGATGAAGAAACAGGACAATCACAAGCTTCCCCTACTTCCCACCAAAGCAAGACTCTGTGGTTGACTTGTTATATTCCATTTGTATGTGTGTGTGTGTGTGTGTGTGTGTGTGTGTTCACGCATGTGTAGGTGCACATGCTCAGTGGATACGAGGGGATCATCTTAGGTGTCTCTCTTCATGTCTTAGTTACTTTTCTATTGCTGTTAATAAGACATCATGACCAAGGCAGCTTATAGAAGAAACTGTTTATTTGGGGCTTACAGCTTCAGAAGCTTAAAGTCCGTGACCATCAAGGCAAAGACCACGGTAGTAGGCAGGCAGGCATGGTGCTGGAGTGGTAGCTGAGAGCTTACATCTTGAGAACCAACCATGAAGCAGAATGGCAAAGAGAGAGAGACAGAGGAGAGAGAGAGAGAGAGAGAGAGAGAGAGAGAGAGAGAGAGAGAGAGAGAGAGAGATCCTAACCCTGTGTGTATATTCCCCAGCCCAGGCCAGTGTAAGGAAAGTAGGGTACTTAGTTAATATTGATGGATGAATGGACCCACTAATAGACAAGATGGATGGATGGATGGACAGACCTGTGAGCACATACACAGAGCACAAACCAGGGTTCTTTTGGGGCCCATTTCTATTCACATGCTGGACCTTGCACCAAACTAAAAGTATGCTTCCTCACATTCCAGGAAGCCTTCACAGCACCCTGAGCACTGAATACTATTATTCTTTAGTTCCATCACTATTCTGCACAAGTCAGGGCCACCCATAAAGCACTCCTCCATACATGTATAAATGCATCTGCATGTGCTTCATACACAAATACACAAAGTCACTAATTTATTTGAAAAATATATAAGAGTATCTGTGGTCAAGATTTGCTCAAGTGAAGATTTTGAGATTGAAATAAAGAACTGTAACAATGTTTGATATGCTGGGGCCACCACAGCACAGCTGCGCACACACACACACACACACACACACACACACACACATACACACACACACACACTGGAAATAACTCTCTTACTTTATTTCTCAAAGCAGACATCCATTCATGCCAAGGATATGAAACAGAAATCTGTCTTGTGCTCTGCCCATCACCATCTTAGGAGGCCAGAGGAATGACCAGGCAAGGTGGCAGTGGCTTAGCATGTCTGGAGTCTGCCTGGTTACCAAGTAATTTGTTTTGTTTTGGTTCTGTGGTTTTTCAAGACAGGATGTCTCTCTGTAGCCCTGGCTGTCTTGGAGCTTGCTTGTACACCAGGCTGGCCTCAAACTCACAGAGATCCACCTGCCTCTGCCTCCCAAATGCTGGGATTAAAGGCGCGTGCCACCATGTCCAGCATCACCAGGTAGTTTTATAAACTCAGGAAATCGTGTCACTTCTCTGATCTTCAGTCTCACCTGCAAATCAGCTATGGAACAGAATAGAAAGTCATGTTGTATATGTTCGACTTTCCATCGTTTACTGGTGCGGAGGTGGGGAGCAAGGGGGAGGGGGGAAGACTGTGCACAACAACCCATGGAACAAAAAGACCCAGAGACAATACCTATTGTCAGGCGCAGGGACAAGAGAAGCAGGCAGCATGCTGTACCAGAAATAAAGAAAACAGTGAACCTCTGGCACGATCTGATTGGGGATCAGGGACAGAGCAAAATAGCCTGCACTAGAGCCTGTCTCCTGCCAGCTGTGTGGCCATAGGCAAGTCCCTGGAGCTTCCTGGAGGTTCTCACTTCATCCTGTAAAACAGAACTAAGATCTGCTATATCTGCCCTCAGGATCTGGAACCAGCCAGCCCTGCCTCTGGTTCATGCCCTGTACCTCTGCTCTCAGGCCTGTGTGTCCTGTAAGCCTGGGGTTTCAGCAATGGGCATCCCCCTGGGTGATGGAGATTAAAAAGTCAGTTTCTCGATCAGTGTGGTATGAAACAGTCGAATCACTCACAAAGTGAAGCTGGAAATCACAGCCATTGTCTGCTGCTAATGACTGCAGCACCAACAGAGGCTGTGAATGTGCAACATGGACCTGTGTGGCCCTATGCCTTGGTTAGCCATGTAATGTACTAGAATACTCAGCACCAGGTGCCATGACCAAAGGCCCACCCAAGGTAGGAAAAATAAATGATTTTGAAGAGCCTCCTAGCATGGAGCAACACACAGCACTGAGAGTGTAGCCTCCGTAGATACCAGACCAGGTTCATGGACAGTCCTCGCAGACATTCTGAGCAACTGGAACCAACACAAGTCTCCCTGTGAGGCCATTCAAATACAGCACAGAAAAGGAGTAAAAGCCAGCTTGTGCTGGCAGTGTTGGGAAAGAGCCTCTGGAGGTGTGGGTGGCCATGTGCATCTTCATCTGGTTGCTGATTCCGTGCGTGGTATGCTCTGTTTTTGAAAGCTCCGTCAGCTGCATGTGCACCGAAGGCAGCTTAGTTTTCAACGGAAACAATGTGAGCCAGGAGACAATGGAATGGCATCTTCAAAGTGCAGAAAGAAAATATCTGCCACCTATAATTCTATATAAGCAACTAAAAATATCTCCAAAAGAGAATGAGGCAAAATTTGATTTTAGGACAATCAGAGCAGAAAGGCAAAATAGCGTCTTTTAAACAATAGGAAAACAAACCTAGAAAGCTACATGGAGCTGTGTGAACGAAAGCACAAAGGAAAGGTGGATAGAAGGGAGTGTTGGCTGCATAAAGTGGTTATTAAAATGCTCTATGGAGTGCAAGCTATACATGGAAGCAAAGTACAAAAGGTAGAAACCAAGTCCATGAGAACGGTGCTGCTAGGGTTGGGGGTGTAGAGCACTTGTCTAGCATAAGTGAGGTCTTGGATTTTATCCCCCCATCACTGTAAAAATATTGGGTCACAGAAACACCTCCCCTTCCTCCACATGTAGGTGAGAAGCACATGTATCCCTAAAAAAAAAATTGCATTAACAGGTACCTGTCGTCCAATGCAATAGACCCCACGTGCTTTCCAGACTCAGATTTACTGGGCAGGCTGCATCTGTATACTGCTCATCCATGTGAGCATACAGCAAGTCACAGGCAGGGAGGTTCTTCTCCAACACGACACAGCTCCAGGATCAGTGACTGCAGAAATTGCTGCAGCCACGTCATTAAAAAGATGTAATCAGGATGTGAGGTTGATGCCAGTCTGATATGCTTGGGGTGGTGGATGAATGCTACACTTACCTGTCAATCTGTGATGTTTCTTTTGTGTTGTGGGAACGGGATTGTCAGGCTTCAGATATGTCCCCACACATTAATTTGGCAGTGCTTTTCTTCATTCATTGGAAAGAGAAGCCAAGGCCCACAGATGTTCAGTAACTTCCCTTAGATCACAAACCAGGATGGAGTGGGTTGGAACCTAGACCAAGCAGGCCAGCTCGCATGTCATCCCCAAGTCAATGCAAAATCTCACAAGGCCCTGATGCTCATAATAATGTTCTGGAACATTCTATCCTATGTCTCATTTCTCATCCAAAGAGATAGTATGATTGAAATGGATGCCTTCTAAATCTTGCCAAGCAATGAATTGAGTTAGGTTTCTATTTCCCCCCTATCTCATGAGGTAGTACTTTGTGCCAAGATGCTCTGCAGCCCCACACCCCAGGA